ATGCTGAGCCACCTAGGTGTCCTAAGCTTAACCTTGACTTTTTTTAAATATAACCAAGAACAGGGATGCCTGGGTGGCTCAGCGGTTGAGCATCTGCTTTCATCTTTGGGTGTGATCCCGGGGTTATGGGATCGAGTCCTACATCAGGCTCCCTACGTGGAGCCTGCTTCTCCCTCTGCCTATGTCTCTGCCTCTGTCTCTGTCTCTCATAAGCAAATGAAAAAAAATCATATATATATATATATATATATAACTAAGAACAAACAATTCACAAAAACAGTTGTCAGTCAGTGATAACCTTTGAACTTCACTGCCCCCAAGAGGTCTTTCTTTCAACCATCTAAACTATTAAGAAGTAAGAATTTATCTACCTTGTGATAATTTTAGTTTCGCTACTAACTTTGGTTTTCAAATCTCTGGTTTCATATCCACTATTCACCCCTTTTGGGGAAGAAAATTTCTTTTTTCTTTTTTTTTTTTAATTTTTATTTATTTATGATAGTCACACAGTGAGAGAGAGAGAGGCAGAGACACAGGCAGAGGGAGAAGCAGGCTCCACGCACCGGGAGCCCGACATGGGATTCGATCCCGGGTCTCCAGGATCGCGCCCTGGGCCAAAGGCAAGCGCCAAACCGCTGCGCCACCCAGGGATTCCCGGGAAGAAAATTTCTGATCTTTGAAACAAATAGTATTCCCCACAAAAGGCTGAGCACCTAATAGTCAAGCCAACAATATAGTTTGGTAAATGTTACCCTTTTTATGGTTGATAACAAATTTTTAAGACTCAAAATTTGGGATCCCTGGGTGGCACAGCGGTTTGGCGCCTGCCTTTGGCCCAGGGCGCGATCCTGGAGACCAGGGATCGAATCCCACGTCGGGCTCCCGGTGCATGGAGCCTGCTTCTCCCTCTGCCTGTGTCTCTCCCTCTCTCTCTCTCTCTCTGTGTGTGACTATCATAAATAAATAAAGAAAAAAAATATTTAAAAAAAATAAGACTCAAAATTTCACAAAGTTTGCATCAATATATATGGTCATTTCCTAGTTAAAATGCACCCCTAGGGGCAGCCAAGGTGAGCGGCTTAGCGCTGCCTTCAGTCCAGGGCGTCATCCTGGAGACCTGGGATCAAGTCCCATGTCAGGCTTCCTGCATGGAGCCTGTTTCTCCTTCTGCCTGTGTCCCTGCCTCTCTCTTTCTCTGTCTTTCATGAATAAATAAAATCTAAAAAAAAAAAATGCACCCATAGAAAACAGTTGGACCATACAATCAGTGACTTGCTAGCCTGAACACAATAATAAAATATGTTCTCATAGATCCCAGTGTTTGACAGAGATTCCATTTAACACATATGCTGTGAATGACAGCTATGCAGGAAGTTAATATGTCCAAGGCTGGATGATGACAATGAGGATGATGATGGTTAGTACATTCATCTTACCCTAAGTATTTGCATATCACTATTGTCAAAATGCCTCTTCACCAAAAAACAAAACAAAAAAAAACTAACCATTAATAAATAATTTACCTTCAAACTTTAGTTCTCCGAAAAGGATATGTGGAGTGAAAATTCTCCCTCTCCATATATGTAAGATGTTCTCTATTGACGTTTTTATGCCCTAATTATTAAGTATTTAAATTTTATAGAAATACAACATAAGTCAATATATTTGTCACTCAGATTTAACAAATGTTCAACATTTTGTGATTGCTTCTGATTTTTTTTTTTTAAGATTTTGTTTATCTGAGAGAGAGTGAGAACACAAGTGGGGAAGTGCAGAAGGAGAGGGAGAAGCAGACTCCCTCCCCACTGAGCAGAGAGCCTGATGTGGGGCTCCATCCCTGTGACTCCAGGATCATGACCTGAGCTGAAGGCAGATGCTTAACAGACTGAACCACTCAGGCGCCCCTGCTTCTAACTGATTTTTTTTTTTTTAAGATTTTATTTGTCCATGAGACACACAGAGAGGGAGAGGCAGAGACACAGGCAGAGGAAGAAGCAGGCTCCATGCAGGGAGCCCGACGTGGGACTCCATCCTGGGTCTCCAGGATCATGCCTGGGCTGAAGGCAGCACTTAACCGCTGAGCCACCCAGGGTGCCCCCTTCTGACTTTTAAATAAAAATTTGCAGATAAACTGGGGTTCCTGGATGGCTCAGTCTGTCAAGCGTCTGCCTTCTGCCTGAGTCATCATCTCAGAGTCCTGGGATCCAGCCCTACAAGGATCTCCCTGCTCAGCAGAGAGGCTGCTTCTCTCTCTCCCTCTGCTACTTCCTGCCACTCACTCTTTCTCTGTCTCTCTCTCTCTCTCTCTCTCAAATAAGTAAATAAAATCTTAAAAAAAAAATAGGTGTGCGGATATATCAAAACTACATCCCTCTCCAGATCCTGAGTTTGATATATGAAATTCTCATGCATCATAAATCAATAAACAGAAGTGTAGTGATCTTCTATTTTATACTCTTTCAACTCTTGCTCTTCTCTCACTCTCCCTAGAAATGAGAAGTCAATTGAGTAAGATGTTGCTCAATGGAAAAAATCTGGGACTAGAACTGTAGTTTTCTAGCTGCTAACTCAAATCCTTTCCCCTTTTGCCTAGGTCATAACGGTTTTAGCATTCAAACTCTGGAAATGCTTAAGTGCATGTCATGTAGCAACTTCTACCAAAATATCTGTGGCTATGAGCTCCTGGCCGGAATTGCTTCATCAGGATTCTTCTCAAGATGGAGTTTCACCTACAGCTGCCTCCTCCCAAGTGTAGGGTTCCATCAGCTCTAACACGCGGAGAGGAACGTACTTGTATTTCATCACTTTCCCAAAATATACACAAGTAAAAGGATACAGGAACCAAAAGAACAAACCAGCTTTTTCCAACAGCAGTACTGAACTTGGTAATTTGCTTCCTGGCTCTGTATGCTCTGACTAAACACGGCTTCTGTTTCGACTTGTTAGATACTAGCAAAAGCTGTGTCAGGACAAGCTTCCAAGGGATGATGTAGAAAGAATATTCAACTGTCAGGTTGCTGAGCGGACAAGAAGTTGAGAACCAACAACTGACTCAGCATGTTAGTTGGGTGGTTTGCTTACTTGAGCATGAGGCCTGGAAGCTCAAACCAGGTTACAAACTATAATGTGACTCACACTTAGCAATCTAGTTAGCCATTCAGTTGCATGTAAAAATGAACAAGAAAGCATTGTACGATGATTCTATTCCTTGGTCAATAATTATTATTTTTTCCCAGTAATATTGCTAAAGAAAACAGAGAGATGGGCATCTGGCTAGGTCAATCAGTAGAACATGAGACTCTTGGACATAGAGTGGTGAGTTCAAGCCCCATGTTGGGCACAGAGCTTACTTAAAAAGGAAGAAAGAAAAACAAAATTAAAAAAATATATATAGAAGGAAAAGAGATTTGCTAATATTCATTGTGCTTTTATTTTTTCGTATTTTAAAGATTGTGTTTATTTTTTTCATGAGAGACACAGAGAGAGAGGCAGAGACACAAGCAGGCTCTATGCAGGGAGTCTGATGTGGGACTTGATCCTGTGTCTCCAGGATCAAAAGCCTCGCAGCTTTTGATTTTCAGGCAAATTACTTACTGTCTCTATGCCTCAGTATTACAGCTGTAACATAAAACCTATCCTATGTGGTCCTTGGGGAGCTCAGAAAGTATCTGGTAGTCGTAAACAATTTGATTTTGCCCACCGAAGACATTGTACTGTTGATAGGCTTTATCTTTCATAATTGAGCCAGATTTTGTGCAGTCACTTCTCAATCCAATCTGATATCTAAAGGCCATGAAAAATATGTATATATGTAATAGAAATAATTTAATGCTATAAGCCTTTAAACTTCATGCCATTTAGGAACATTTTAAAAGCACAAGGAAGGGCAGCCCAGGTGGCTCAGCGGTTTAGCACCTGCCTTCAGCCCAGAGCGTGACCCGAGGTCCTGGGATGGAGTCCTGCGTCCGGCTCCCCGCAGGGAGCCTGCTTCTCTCTCTCTCTCTCTCTCACTCTCTCTCTCCTGCTTCTCTCTCTCTCTCTCTCTCATGAATGAATAAATAAAGTCCTTAAAAAAAAATAAACTCGCCTCTTGAAACCTTGTTCTCTACAGCTCGGGGCCTCGGGACTGGGGGAGGCTGCCAGGTGGGCTACTGAGGATCAGCAGAGCTGGGCTCGGAAGACCCCAATCTGAACCCCACCTCCCCTAGCTGTGGGATCCTAAGCCTGAGCAGGTCAGGGCAGGTCAGGGCAGGTCAGGGCACTTCCGAAACACGAAGAATTCTCTCTTTTCCTCGCAGTCTCGGGAAGCTTCGCTAGGATAGTGCGTGTGAACAGGCTTCCGGAACTGAGGTCTTTCCAAATAGACGGTATGTCCCCTTGCACGAGCCAGTTGCCTTCTTGGAGCTTTATCTGTAACCTGAGGATAGTAAGGCCTGTCAAGCGGTCGTTATGAAGGTGAAAGGAAATGATGCACAGAAACCAGTAGGGTGCATAACGCACAGGGTCAGGAACACAGAATTCAAAGTGCTAGTTGTTGCTCGACGCTTCATTTTCAGTTTTCTGGCTCATGTTGCAAGATTTTACTAAATCTGGGCAGCCGGGGGCGGGGGGGGGGGGGGGGGGAGGGCTCAGCGGTTTAGCTCCGCCTTCAGCCCAGGGCGTGACCCTGGAGACCCGGAATCGAGTCCCACATCGGGCTCCCTGCAGGAGCCTGCCTCTCCCTCTCTCTGTCTCTCAAAAATAAATAAATAAATAAATAAATAAATAAATAAATAAATAAATAAATAAATAAATAAAATCTTTAAAAAAGAAAAAACAAAGATTTTAGTAGATCTTCTGAGCATCCCTGGGGCAGGAGCCTGAAACGGGGCAGCAAAGTGGATACGTGACCCCCCCACGGTCCACCACCGCCTCCCGAGGCCCATTCCACCGACCAGGCGAGGCCGCCCCGCCCGCGAGCTCCCGCCGCGCTCCGTCAGGGGGCGCCCGGCCGCCCCGCCCCGCCCCGAGGCCCCGTCCCCGAAGGAGGCGGAGCCTCGCCCGGCAAGATGGCGCCGCCCGTGCTGTGCCGCCCGGTCTCCCGGCTCCTGGCTCCGGCCCGGCTCCCGAGCGCCCGTGAGTGCTCCTGGCGGCGCAGGCTGCCCCGGCCTGCCCGTCTGCCGCCCCCGGGGCGGGCCCAGCCGGCGGGGACGCGGGGTCGGGGCCGCGGATCGCAGCGCCGACTCTAGGCTCGCCGTCGCCGCCGCCGCCCTCTCTCGGTCCCTGCGAACGGCCTTCGGGGCCCCCGAGAGCCGGCGGAGCCCAGTTCCCGGGCGTGGAGGGCGGCGCGGAGGACGGGGGCGGCGGGCCCGCAGCTGCGAGCCCCGCTTCCGCCCGGGGGTGGGGGCGGGGCGGCAGGCGAGGCCCACTTCCGCCGGGGGGCGGGGCGGGAGGGTTAGAGACGCTGAGGCACCTGCGCGTCCGCTCTCCGCCTGCAGCTCGGGCGCGGTGGAAGTTCTACGTTCGGGAGCCGCCGCGGGACGGCCCCGACTGGCCGAAGGTCGGGCTGACCTTGGGCACCGCCGTCGCCCTGTGGATCCACGTGAGTTGGCGCCTCCGTGGTGCGCGGGCCCCGCTCGTGGGGGGTGGGGGCGCGGGGGCGCGCGGGGTCGGGCCCCCACCCAGCCGCGGGTTCGCGGAAGGGCTCAGCGCGTGCGACCTCACAGCGGAACCCCGGGACCAGCAGAAGGACGGAAGATTGCAGCAGCCTCGGAGTTAGGCCGGTCGTCGTTAACTGGCATGACGATCCGTTTAGGACGGACGGCAGTTTCAGGAGGGATCGTCCTTTACCGGCTAATGAGGACGGAGGCTGCCCTTGGGTTCATTCATTCATTCATTCATTCATTCATCCTGAGAGACACAGACAGGCAGGGACACAGGCAGAGGGAGAAGCAGGCTCCCTGCAGGGAGCCCGACGTGGGACTCTAACCCGGGACCCCGGGGTCACGCCCTGGGCCGAAGGCAGACGCCCAACCGCTGAGCCACCCGGGCCTCCCTGCCGTTGGGTTTTACGAAGACACTTTTTTCCCAGATGCTATACGGACACCTCTTCAATGGACAAGCAATACAAATTAAGCCCCACTAGACTCCCCAAACACAAGCTTGTAATCAACGTTTGGGTAAATGCACTGTTGGAAATCGTACTCTGTGTGTAGCAGCTTTTTATTTTCTCTTTACAGTAATACAAATGCTTTATTTTTTTCTTTTCTTTTTTTTTTTTTTTTTTTTTTTTTTTAATCTACGATAGTCACAGAGAGAGAGAGAGGCAGAGACATAGGCAGAGGGAGAAGCAGGCTCCATGCACCGGGAGCCCGAAGTGGGATTCGATCCCGGGTCTCCAGGATCGCGCCCTGGGCCAAAGGCAGGCTCCAAACCGCTCCGCCACCCAGGGATCCCTTTATTTTTTTAAAGATTTTATTTATTTATTCATGAGAGACAAAGAGAGAGAGAGAGACACGCACACAGGCAGAGGGAGAAGCAGGCCCCATGCAGGGAGCCTGATGCTGGACTCAACCCGGGACCCCGGGGTCACACCCTGGGCGGAGGGCGGCGCTAAACCTCTGAGCCGCCTGGGCCGCCCTCCAAGTGATTTACACATAAAAATTCACTTAATCTTTTTCAACAACACTGTGTAATAGGTACTGTTATCACTGACTTTTTATAGGTAAAGAAAACACTTGGAGGGGAATCCCTGGGTGACTCAGCGGTTACCGCCTGCCTTTGACACAATGCGTGACCCCGGGGTCCCGGGATCAAGTCCCGCATCGGGCTCCCTACACGGAGCCTGCTTCTCCCTCTGCCTGTGTCTCTCATGAATAAATAAATATTTTATTTAAAAAACAATAAAAGAAAACACTTGGAGAAATTAGTTGGCTAAACCCGATTCTCCCTGACTTCAGAATTACACTGTAGACCACCGTGAAATGCTGCCTCTCTGTAGACACCTTTTTTTGAAGTTGACTCAAAGTCTGTGTGCTATATTAGTATTTAAGATTTGTTTGTTTTTATCTCATGAGTTTGGGGCTTTCTCCACTGCCTCCCACCTCCAACGCTTAGATCTCTCGTTTTGAATTTTCTCATTAAAATGGCTTGTTGATAATGGGAAGGAGTAAGAGATAGTGAACGTGGTTTACAACATAACAATAGTAACTAATCCTTTCAAAAATAATATTTGTGGGACGCCCAGGTGGCTCAGTGGTTGAGTGTCTGCCGTGGGTTCAGGGCGTGACCCCAGGGTCTTGGGATTGAGGTCTGCATGGGGCTCTGTGGGGAGCCTGCTTCTCCCTATGCCTGTGTCTCTGCCTCTCTTTCATGAGTAAATAATAAAATCTTTAAAAAAAATTTTTAGTCTTAAAAAAATATTTGTTATAATGAAGTTTTAATTTAAAGCTTTCCCCAAAAAGCTTGATTGCTGCCGAGAACTCTGAGTGTAATTGGATCTTTGCAGCAAATGTCACCCTTGTATATCGACCATTGTTTTGGTTGCAGATTCAGTCAGAGGTGGTTCTAAGAAAGTTTCTATGTCCCGCGACATTGAATTAACACACAGACAATTGGGGATGGGGATGGTGACTCACAGTGTCCGGCATCTAAGGTTAGAGGTGTAACACAGCAACCAGCATGGGCCTCATTTAATGACTCCGTTCTGGTTGGTTGTGTTGGTTTAACTCCTCTGTAGTAACTTATTCTATTACGTTAATTACCTGCTGAATGAAATAACTTATTTGACAGAAGTTGAATTTAAACTCATAAAGGGGGATCCCTGGGTGGCGCAGCGGTTTAGCACCTGCCTTTGGCCCAGGGCGCGATCCTGGAGACCCCGGATCGAATCCCACATCGGGCTCCCGGTGCATGGAGCCTGCCTCTCCCTCTGCCTGTCTCTCTGCCTCTCTCTCTCTCTCTCTGTGTGACTATCATAAATAAATAAAAATTAAAAAAAAAATAAAAATAAACTCATAAAGGGGACGCCTGGGGGGACTCAGGGCATGATCCCGGGTTCCTGGGACCGAGTCCCACATCGGGCTTCCTGCGTGGAGCCTGCTTCTCCCTCTGCCTGTGTCTCTGTCTCTCTGTGTGTCTCTCATGAATAAATAAAATCTTTTGAAAATAAATAAATAAAAATAAACTCCTAAAGGCTATCTTCTCCTCAAATTTAGTATGTTAGATTAAAATGAACTAGTATATACCATTGCATAGTTTTTGGACTTGCATCTCTTAGCCTTTTATTTTTAACTAGAATAATTTATATATTTCTAATTGTTATCTACTTCTAGCTAATCAAAAAACATAATGAAGATGTTTTAGAGTATAAAAGAAGAAATGGGTTGGAATAAACCATTGAAATACTAATATAGTAAGTATGCAATTTTATAGGATTAATAAATTATGCAAGTTAATTTGACCTCTTTTTAAATAATGTATTTTGGTTGATTTTTTTTATTGGGTTTATATATATTTTTGTTACTTCTTTTAAGTAATTTCTAAACTCATTGTGAGACTTGAACTCACAACCCTGACATCAAGAGTTGCATGCAACTCCAACTGAGCCAGCCAGGTGCCCCTACTGAGTTTATACTTTTAGCACTGATATTCCTGCCTGTGACAAATTTATGAATTTTAATACCTTAGCTGAAGCATCTCTCAGCATAAATATTTTTAGCATCATTTTCAATCATGCTTTGTCTATGTTCATAGAAAGTTGTGCTTAAGAATGAAATCAAAATCGTATCATTTTGTGAACCTAATGTACACAATGACTTCATAAAATTGAAGACAAGTTACCATTCATGTATTTCTTAATATCTGTTTGTTATATGTGACACCTGAGTAAATTTCATGAGCCTAGAAACCCTATTTTATTAATCATAATGTACTCAGCAAATTGCCCAGTGCTTGGGCCTGCTGGTAATTTAATATTTGTAGAACAGGTGAATGTATGAGGGCAATAGATTGGGAAATCGTTTACCATATGACCATTTCTTTATGATTGTTACAACTAACACCCAATTGGACAGTTCCTAGTAAAATCTAGCTGTGAACAAGGTACTCTTCTCTGCATGCTCTGTGATTTAAAAGAAGGAATGAGGGACACCTGGATGGCTCAGCGGTTGAGCGTCTGCCTTTAGCTCAGGGCATCATCCTGGAGTCCTGGGATCCAGTCCCTCATCAGGCTCCCTGCATGGAGCCTGCTTCTCCCTCTGCCCCTCTCTCTGTGTCCCTCATGGATAAATAAATAAAACCTTAAAAAAAAAAAAAAAGGAATGAGTTTACTTATATGTCTACATATATGTAAATGCATAGTTTATTTCTGAAAATCCTTTTAAAGAAATTTTACATTAATCTTTTTGCAAAATGAAAAATCACATACATCTCAGCTTTAATAAGGATTAGATTGATTCAAGTAGGTAACTTGGGGCACCTGGGTTGCTCAGTCAGTTAAGCATCTGCCTTTGGCTCAGGTCATGATCCCAGGTTCTAGGATCGGATCATGCCAGCATCGCGCTCTGTGCTCAGCAAGGAATCTGCTTCTCCTCCCTCTGCCTGCTGCTCCCCCTGCTTGTGCTCTTTCTCTCTCTCTGTCAAATAAATAAATAAAACTCTTTTTAAAAAATAAAGTAGGTAAGTTATAATCTGATTGATAATAGTAATCACTAACATACACTTTTTTTTTTTTAAATACGTAACAACTCTCAAGCTCGGCTCTCTAGGGTCTGATTATCCAAATTTTTTCACTTCTCTTTTCCTATTAATATCACCTTGCTATCCCTTCTACAGTCAGCCAATCAATCGATAAAAATGAAGTAGATATTTAAATCAGTATGATTTTGCTACTCTTAGAGGTCACATAAAAATTTTTTGCTAAAACAACACAATTAAGGGTTGATACTTTTTGTGGATTTACTTTCTAGACTTTACCAGATACTCTAAGGTAAATTATTCAGAATGGTTTCAGTTTAATATTATTTCTGCTGGTTAATGATACAGTTTTAATTTTTTTCTCTTCATTATAGGTATGCTCCACGTTGTGATTATACTAGTTCCTTTGGATTCAGCAACCTGTTAAGTTGTAAACATGAGAGAAAAAGTCATATGTGAATATGTGAATGTATGCCAAATCAGCATTTGTGTTTTGCATCTTTAAATGAAAAAATAAAAATACTAATGTATTCAGATTATGCATATTTTAACTATGTAGAACATGTCAGTTCTAAAGTACATAACTTGAAGTATTCTGATGGAAAAGTACCATCTGATAATGGGGTCGGTGGTAATAAGGGTACGTTGGTAAGAAAACTTGTTAAGGAGATAAATTAAAAATCGCTGCTGAAGGATTTACTCCGTATACCAACTTTTCATTTCTAATCCAAATATTGCTGAGTGTGTTAAGGTGATAAAACTACATTATTTTTCAAAATACTTAAGAACCCAAATAATGTTTTCTTTGAGAGAAGCCATTCCGGTAAGTCAGAAAGGTGAATCGCTTACTCTTATTACTAGAGTGTTCTTACTTCCTTGAATTTCAGTGATTATCATTTGGATGGCTTTTGTACTCACCAGTTATGGCACCAATTTGTTTTTTCTTTTTGTAATATGATTTAGCAAATGTCTATGAAAGGGGGGGAGAGGAAAGAGGGTTAATAGGTACAAAATAAAATACACTTCATTTAGCCCTCATCAAAATCCTTTCTTGTGGGGACGCCTGGGTGGCTCAGCCGTTGAGCGTCTGCCTTCAGCTCAGGGCATGATCCTGGGGTCCCGGGATCGAGTCCTGCATCGGGCTCCCTGCATGGAGCCTGCTTCTCCCTCTGCCTGTGTCTCTGCCTCTCTCTCAGTCTCTCATGAATACATAAATAAAATCTTAAAAAAAAAAAAAAAAAAAAACTTCCTTTCTTGGGGGGAGGGAGGGAACCTTAACTGTATGTCAGTTAAGATTTATTTATATGCCGCTTCATTCATTTGTGACTTAAATGCTTAGGGTACCGTACATTTGAAAATTCATTATTAAGGTCTCCATTCTGATGTTAAGTGGAAAGACTTACTGTATTATAATTAGTTTTGTATGTGTTTTGGGCTGTGGCCAACACTTACTCTGGGAGATTCATGGCCTAATATCCTTGGAAGTCACTTCTGAACATAAATTGAGTTTAATATTATTTTTAGATTAATTATATGATGCAAGTTCAGTGAAAGACCAGATATAATAGTTACTATAAACTTTTGTTAACTTTGGAGCCCTAGCTGATAGACCTAGACAGGACCTTGGGGGTTATATAGACCAATGTCATATTTATACAAATGCAAAAACCAGAGACGAAGAGTGATTTGAACAGCACTGTGGTACATGTGATAGATTCCGAAGATGCCCATTGCCTACTCTTTGGAATCTGTATATGTTAGATTAAATGGAAAAAATGAATTAAGATTACAGATGGAATTAAGTTTGCTAATCACTAAATTTGACACTTGAAGGGAGAGATCATCCTGGATTATTCATTTGGACCCAATGAAATTACAAGGGTCCTTGTAAGTGGAAGGGGAGACACAAGAGGGTGTCAGTGATGTGCTGTGAAAAAGACACAGCTGGCCGTCTCTAGCTTTGAAGGTGGAAGGGGGCCAAGAGCCGAGGAATGGCAAAGTCAAATTCTCCCCTGGAGCCTCTAGAAAGGAACACGGTCCCACAGACACCTTGATTTTAGTCCAGTAAGAACTGTGTTGACTTTCTCACCTAAAACAAAACAAAAAAAACCTGTAAGATAAGTTTGTGTTGTTTAAAACACTGTTGTGGTAGCAGTAGGGGACTAGCAGCACCACGTGGTAATAGAAAACAAGCAGTCCAGGTATCAACTCCCAAATCAAATCGTGTTCCACTAAACGAAACCCTGAGAAATTCACCTCCCAAAAGGGAATTGAAAACTCCAAGACACATGAAATTCCAGAAACTGATAACCTTAGTTGGAAATAAAATATAAACAATACCCACTCTATGTCAGGCTTTGCAAACCTAGCTGCCTACCCAGTGTGGACCTCGATCTTGACTCTGCCTGTGTGACTCCAGGGGGAGCCATTCCTCGTGACCAGGCTGTCCGAAAGAATTTTCCTGTTACTGACGGATGCGTCCTGTCTGCTCTCCAGTATAGTAGCCACTAGTCCCGTGTGGCTCTTGAGCATTTGGAATACGATTAATGGGACTGAATTTTGAATATTTCATTTTCATTAACTTAAATGGCCACATGAGGCTGGCGGCTGCTTTACTGGATAGCATGGATGTGGATCACTACATCCTAGAGCCCTGCACACAGCGGCACTAGTAGAAATGCCTTCTAAGTTAAATACTGAAACCTCACTCCAACTGGGTTAAGCCAAAAAAGAGTTCCGAGGATACTGACCCCAAGAACAGGAATGCACCTGGGCCCAGTAATAATGGGTCTGGAACTCCAATGTTATCAGGACTTGCTCTTGGCCCTACTGTTTTCTTTACACAATTTTCTAACCCGGTCCACATTGTAAGAGGCCACAGTCCATAGGTCCTAGCTTTACATCTTAGTTGAAGAACGTAGCTGGACGGAACAAGAATCATTCTGATTCTGAATCCCCAAGAGGAACTGTGGTCACATTACGGTTTCTTTAGTGATAATATAAGAGAGTGTCCATTAAAAAGATGCAGACAAAATCCTTTAATTACAGTCAAGTTGTTTTTTTTGTTTGTTTGTTTGTTTTTTGTGGTTTTTTTTTTATCAGATCAAAATCGGGCACCTGGGTGGCTCAGTTGGTCAAGCAGCTGCCTTCAGCTCAGGTCAGGATCCTGGGGCCCTAGAATCCTGTGATGGAACCCCAGGTTGGGCTCCCTGCTCAGCCAGGAGTTGGCTTCTCCCTTTCCCTATGCCCCTGCCTCCTTCCCTCCCTCCTCTCCCTACCTCTTCCTTCCCACCCCCTCATCCTCTTTCACTCTCCCAAATAAAGTCCTTTTTAGACAATCAGGTAAAGCTTTTTTCATATTTAGTAGCTGTGAGGTGGCCATTTATTTAGTCATTCATTCATTTTTAAGTAAGCTCTGCACCCAATGTGGGGCTTGAACTCACAACTCTGAGATCAAGAGTTGCATGCTTTTCTGACAGAGCCAGCCAGGTGTCCCTAAATTATTTTCTTAAGTTGCCATGGAAAAAATAAGCTATATAAACTCAGTTGCAAGTATAAGAAGTAATAGGTTGAATTGTGTCCCCCCCCCAAAAAAAAAGATAACGTCATAGTCCTAACCCTCAGTATCTCAGAATGTGACCTTACTTGGTAATAGGGTAACCGCAGATGTGATTAGTTAGGATGGGCTCATACAGGCATGGAGTGGATCCTTAATCCAGTACGACTGGCATATTTAGGAGAAGAGACAGACACACGGACACACCGAGAAGACAGCCGTGTAATGATAGAGGCAGAGATTGGAGTGATGCAGCTACAAGCCAAGGATTATTACAAACTCTGAAGCTGGAAAAAGCAAGGAAGGATTCTCCGCTACAGCTTTCAGAGCAGGCGTGGCCCTGCTGACATCTTGATTTCGAGCTTTGAGGGCCCCAAACTGTGAGAATCTCTTCCTGCTGTCCTGAGCCATCCAAATTTGTAGTAACGTGCTATGATACCTTAGGAGAATTATACAGAAGTACTAGGGCATCTCATGTTTATTTTGCCAAAGAAGAGTAGGTGGAGAGTGTACTGAGTCACCTCCAAGAATAATTTAAGCATTTACCACCGTTGATGACCTTTCTCTGTCATTTTATCTAAATATTTTGGCCCATCAAAAGGGCATTTATCAGGGCTTTCTTCATTGCCAATTTGTCTTCCTAGGTACTCCTGTAGGTGTATCTATGTGGATCTATATAAAATACACTTTATATTGATCTGTTGAAAGTACAGGTGATAGCCTAAGAATTTAATGTTGAGAAAAACAAAGCTGTGGGGGGCCTGGGTGGCTCAGCCAGTTAAACAACCAACTCTTGATTTCAGCACAGGTCATGATCTTAAGTCCTGGGATTGAGCCCCTCATCTGCTTCTCCCTCTCCCTCTGCTCCCTGGCCCCCACTCCCACACGTGTGTGTGTGTTCTCTCTCTCTCTCTCTCTCTCTCTCTCTCTCAAATAAGTAAATCAATAGAATCTTTAAAAAAGAAAGAAAAACAAAGCTTTTTCTAACTTTTGATGGAGTCCGGGAAATCACTCCGTCTTTGAAAATTCCTTTTAGTTTATAGCATTTAAGCCTTGAGTAAGTATGATTAATATTGCCAATACAGGCCCCTTACAATATGTATTCAAGGCTAATATCTTCTTTGTCAACAATCACAATTAGGTAGAGTCCATCTTAGGTAAGCCGAATTATCTCTGACCCTTGATTCTTGTTTTCCCAACCAGACCACGAAAAATGTCAAGGATGTGCTCAAGGGCAGTATTATCAACAACGTGGCCAACAGCTGGGAAACCATTGCCCGAGTTTCTCAGTCCTCTATCCAAAGACCTATGTTAAAATTCTCTTGTGTTTGGGAGAAACAGCTTACCACAGAGTGAATTTGACAACCTATGGGCATGTCCTCTCTTAGGAAGTATTTCATCAAGATGTGAAGATTTTGCCATCAAAATGGAAAGCCACACATTCTGCAGGAGCAGTAAAGTAGGTAGAAAAGTCCCCTTCAATCCAGGAGGCACTGAGGTTGGGGTGCCTGGCTGGCTCAGTCACTGGAGCACAAGGCTCTTGATTTCAGGGTTGTGAGGTCGAGCCCCACTTTGGGCACAGAGCTTACTTGAAAAACAAAACAAAACAAACAAGAGGCATTAAGCTTTTAACTAAGATGGATAGGACCTGGAGAGTGGCACTATTTATCTCACAATTTTGGCCTCTCTCAGCTGGCAAGGCCTCACCCAGCATAGAGGACGTGATAGACACCCCACTAGATCTTACCATATGATAAGAGAGTGGAATACAATGGGTCCTGTCGTGTGTGCATTGAAAAGCAGCAGAGGGACGCCTGCGTGGCTCAGAGGTTGAATGTCTGCCTTCAGCCCAGGGCGTGATCCTGGAGACCCACATCGTGCTCCCTGCATGGGGCCTGCTTCTCTGTCTGCCTGTGTCTCTGCCTCTCTCTCTCTCTCTCTCTCTCTCTCTGTCTCTCTCTGTCTCTCATGAATAAATAAAATCTTTAAAAAAAAAAGAAGGAAGGAAGGAAGGAAAAAAGAAAGAAAGAAAGAAAGAGAAAGAAACAAAAGAAAAGAAAAGAAAAGGAAAAGAAAAAAGAAAAGAAAAGAAAAGACAAGACAAGAAAGGAAAGGAAAGAAAAGAAAAGCAGAATATGG